GCTTTTACTGTCTGTCCATAGCCTTTATGTGCCTTGTATTTATTCTTACGTGTGCTTTTTTATCTTTTCTTATGTGTGCTTTTTATCTATTCGTGTAATATTATATTTTATTATAATGTTATGTTCATTGTGAAGCACTTTGGCAAACCCTCTGTTTTTAAACTGTGCTATATAAATAAAGTGGATTGGATTGGATTGGATTGACACACACATTTACGTAACAATTTCACCAGGAGACTATGCTCCAATTCAAACACTGAGTAAGTGCATTGAACAAATCAATGACTGGATGTGTCAGAACTTTCTCCAATTAAACAAAGATAAAACTGAGGTAATGGTTTTTGGAGCCAAGGCAGAACGTATAAAAGTTAGCGCTGAGCTTCAGTCTGCAATGTTCAAAACAACAGATAAAGCCAGACATCTAGGTGTAGTCATGGACTCTGACCTGAGCTTCAACAGTCACATTAAAACAGTTACTAAATCAGCCTACTATCACCTAAAGAATATATCTAGGATTAAAAGACTAATGTCACAGCAGGATTTGGAAAAACTTGTCCATGCTTTTATCTTCAGTAGACTCGACTACTGCAATGGTGTCTTCACAGGTCTCACTAACAAATCTATTAGAAAGCTGCAGCTGATTCAGAACGCCGCTGCTCGAGTCCTCACTAACACTAAGAAAGTGGATCACATCACTCCTGTTCTGAAGTCTTTACACTGGCTTCCTGTGTGTCAAAGAATAGATTTCAAAAATACTGCTGCTGGTTTATAAAGCACTGAATGGTTTAGGCCCAAAATACATTTCTGATCTTCTGCTAAATGATGAACCATCCAGATCTCTCAGGTCTTCAGGGACTGGTCAGCTTTCTGTCCCCAGAGTCAGAACTAAACATGGTAAAGCAGTGTTCAGTTATTATGCTCCAAATATCTGGAACAAACTCCCAGAAACCTGCAGGTCCGCTGCAACTCTGACTACTTTTAAATCCAGGCTGAAGACTTATCTTTTTGTCGCTGCTTTTAATTGAACTATTCACATCTTAGACTGCACTGTAACTTTTATCCATGTATTTTTTCTTTTAATGTTTATTTTATTAGCTTTTCTTTTTAATGACTAATTTTAAATGCCATTTTCTTAATGTCTTTCATTTTTTGTAAAGCACTTTGAATTGCCTTGTGTTGAAAAGTGCTATATAAATAAACTTGCCTTGCCTAATAAAGATTTCATGTGACACATAAAATGGATTTGTTGATGGGAATTAATGTGAATAAATTAACTCTAGGTTAACGGTACTCTTGCTATCACTACTCACCGACACTCTATAAACCTTGTCCCTCATGCTAGCCCTGACAACACCGGTAAGCACACCTTCATCTAGGCTGCACTGTTACGTGTCCTGACTTGTAGTGGTTCTCTCCTCTATCTACACTCTTCTTGTCATCTTTGTAAAACGATATCAGACTGGTAATTGACACAGCCATGACTTCTAGTTCAATTCAGTGTGGCTAAAATGAAAAGCTTTGTTAAAATATGCAAGCACGCGGAAGTCAAATTCAGCTTTATTGTTAAAAATTCTACATAGGTTATACATCCAGAAATATCGAAATATCGTTTCCCACAGTGTGACATGTATACATAAAACAAAACAAAAAGGGCCTAGATAAACGGGGTATACAGTTTAAAATGTTAATATATTTAAAGTGTTCAAAGTGCAGTTTCAGTGCAAGTCAGTTGAAACAATCTTAAGTTGGCGTGACGTTAAACCCTCTATGGTACGCACTATGATGCCATTTGGGAAAAAAATGTTTGGAGTGTTTTTTTGTCATATAATAGACCAAATAAACATAATCTAAAGAAATTTTAAATAAATAATTATTTGGGGGTACTTTTGGGGGTACGTTGCCATAATGGTAAGTTATGAAAAAAGAGAGTTATTGTTTCAAATTTGAACAAAATGTATTTAAAAACACATGGAAAATACTAATTAGCCTCAACAGGTTAAATTGCATGCCAATTCAAATGTGAAAATCTTTATTTTTTATATTTTAACAAGATTACATGTCTGAATGTTGCCTGCAGGCACATTGTACCATTGTGAAACAACCCTTAGGAATAAATACGCAAAGAGCCTAGGCATCTTTCATCAAACTTTATTGAGCCATTTGACAAAATAGACTCATTATTGTGGAAGTTCATGAAGCAGTTATTGTCAGCAGTGAAGCACTTTGATCACTGCACTTTCACCCTTACAGCCAGGGTATTTGCACCGGCCCTTTTTCTCCACCCACACAGGCCAATGGTCAGTGTGGTCTTGATGCACATGTGTTGATGGCACTGATGAGGAAGAACCTCTGTGCTTCTTCTCAGCCAGGTCTCTGTCAACATTATGAGATGGTCTCCCCCTCTTCTTCAACACTTTCCTCTCGTTGCAAAGGCAACTTGCAACTTCAGCTTTGAATTTAAGCAGGCTGTACATTTCTTTCTTGGGGATGCCGCAGTCCTTGCAGTCCCTGCGGTACAAGAGCCACACATTCACTAGAGTGAAATCCATCATGTGCAACACGATCTTGTGATGCCACTTCCTTGACCTGATCTTTGTTCTGTAGAGAGCAATCAGCGAGTCTAGAAGATTCACTCCTCCCATACTTTTATTGTATGCATGCACGACACTTGGGCCGGTAACCTGCAATGTTTCTTTCTTTTTCTTATCCGATCTTTGCACAGATCGTTGGGTTGGCTTTAACATCAAATGTATCTTGGTTAAATTGTAGAGATCTATGATGAATGGTATGCTTTTGAACAGTTTATACCTAAACACACAATACCACAATATCATGGTGAATCCATAATGGTACGGTGTTGCCTCAAGGCAACATTTACAATTGACCATAATGGTACGATGTTGCCTCCAGGCAACATTTGCATTTTAACAAGTTTCCATTACCTAATTAGCTAATTAAGTATATTAAACTATTAGAAAAGAAGGTTTACTCACCTATTATTGTGAATACATTTTTTTATTTCTTGGAGAGAAATGGCTGAGCTGATCCTTGTGGGAAAGGCAGCAAACAGGGTCTTCAAATTGGCCACCAGAGAGTCATGGGACAAATTCAAACACTACTATTGGTTCCTTATGGTCCTGCCTCTTTTTTAAAGTATTGCATCATAATTTGAGATGTATTGTGTGAATGTAAAAGGAAAAAAATGGGTATGTTGCCTGGAGGCAACATCATACCATAGACGGTTAAAGTCGTGCGACCCTGCTGCTGTACTGGCTTGTAGTTAGTTTATAGCATAACGTTAGCATTTCGCTTTTGGCGACTAGATTTATGATTAAAAAATGATAAAAGTAGGGTAGACATGTGGAGATTATCCGGCTGAACAAAACGTGATCCCTCTCTTAAATGTGTGTCAACCACAGACCTTATTTCGAGCTATTTTCCAAAATCCTATGGAGAATTTGTATTGGTTTTTCACGAAGGAACCGGAAGAAGTTTACTTCCGGGTTTTACGACGCTGCAGCCAGTGACGCATCCTAAAACCAGGAAGTAAGCTGCTGGTTCCCTCGACAAAAAGCAATGGGACTTCTCCACAGGGTTTTGGAAAATAGCTGGAAATAAGGTCTGTGGAAAACAAACCTGTTTGATAAATGCACGTTTTGTTCAGCCGGATAATCTCCACATGTCTACCCTACTTTTATAATTTTCGAATCATAAATTATACGATAGATTATATAAAAGGGTTTTAGGACGCGTCACTGCACCACTAGAAGCCAACTCCATCGATCAAGCTGGCTGAAACTTTCTCTCCCTCTTCTTCTCATGCTCCCTGTCACTCTCCTTTAACTCCTCCGGTGACTTTCTTTTATTTGAAGATTGTTTTTTGCCCGGCTACCGCTGGTATTAAAAACATTTTGGCGAATGGTTAGGTGGCGCGATAGTCTGTAGTGAAGGAGCGCGCTCACGGGAGCCTGCTCGCGCTGCGCTCCTCAGCAAACAGCTGTTTGCTTTTCCTCCAACAACGACAACCGACTCACGGAACGCTATGTTGTAGTTGATAAACGAAATAATTTAACTAAATTGCTAGTCAAAATACCAATACCACAGGAAACATTTTTTTTTAAACAATATTTTTAGTGGCCCGAGCGGGCAACTGGAAAGTACGTTATGCTGGCCCGGGGTGTCTAAATAGTGCTTCCGGGCCAGCAGGCCATTTATAATGTCGAGCCCTGATGTCTGATATACTCTGTTACCTTGAATAGTAAAAACATCCAAAACAACAATGTGTCTGTGACAACCTACTTGTATCCGTGCTGTCACAGAAAGGGAAAAAATGAACCTTGGGCCTGCGCTCGGATTCACCTCGTCTCACTTTCTCAACTTCCCTGATCTTTCCACTTGACACGGCTACAAAACCACACAGTGAATTCAATGGCGCACTAATATTATTGACAAAGGCTTTTCATGCAGCTCGCAGCACACACTATCTGTCACACAGCCTGTTGGCCAGCATATTGATTGGTGAAAGAGGTGAGTGACAGAGGGAAGAGAGGAGAGACAGGAAATACAGAGAGGAAAGAAAGAGATAAGTTCACATTGTTGGAGAAAGTCCTCGCTTTTAGTAGAAGATTTGCGGGGAATTTAATATAAAAAAAAACCCTAAAGGATCACTAACAAAACAAAAAGAGGGCAAAAACATGTTTTGTGGAGTCATTTTAATGAAATGCAGATATGAAAGGAAGGATAAAGAGAGAGGAAGAGACACTTGTGGAAAATATTTATACATGAAGTCATCCGACAAATAAAAAAACTTGAATAATCATTGACCTGAGCCAAAATGTCTCCTTCTCCCCCCTCTCTGCTTCTCTTTTTCTCCCCTCACCCCCCCCTGCCCTTTCTTCCAAACATCAAACTCTCCAGAGAGACACGAAGGTCTTTGTGAGCAAACAGAAAACAGCTGATAATCAGTGCAATTACTCCTGTGTGTGTGTGTGTGTACATACCCGCAAAATCTCTTCAACACAGCTGGAGTCATTTGGTAGGCTGACCTGGAGAAAACAAAGAAGAGAGAGAGAGACTTCAACACTATTTATAGCACCATTACATTTCAAAGGATAAAGCAAAAACCGAGCATTAGAAGCGATGACAAAATAAAGCAGATTCACCACAGTCATAATTCACCGTGTTCTACGCCCAACTGCCCTTGACTCAAGCTTTGGTTTGTAAACAGCACATACGCAGTTGTTTACAATACTTGTGGCACACTAAAATCAAAGTTACTTCATACAGAGCCCTTGCAAAAGTTATTAAATATGCTGTTAAAGGTGGGGTAGGTAAGTTTCAGAAACCGGCTCGAGATACACTTTTTGTTATATTCCATGGAATGCTCTTAACATCCCGATAGCAATTAATATCTTAAGTGCTTTGACAAAAAATCCATAAAAAAATGTCATCTGTGGAAGCCGTAATACTGTAAAAAGTACAAGCAATTGGATTGCCGCCCTGTCTGTCAGCCTTCCATCTCGTGCACGCACAAATGTATCTCGTGCCCTCATTGGGCGTGCCGTCATTGGGCGTGCATTGCGCGTTCATGTGTGTTGGAGGAGGTGCTCTGTAAGGATGTCTGAAGGAAGGGGCGGATTCTTTTCGGCTGTGTACTTTCAGATTTTAGTGCACTCGAGCCGGTTTCTGAAACTTACCTACCCCACCTTTAATGGCTCTTCATAATATCGGGCTGAAAATAGATAAATGAGGTGTGAAGTCCAGAGATGGAAATGTTGTCTCAATATTATCAGTTTGATAATAGAGGGGTCCATGAAATGAGTTCCAGCTGGCATCCTCGTCTTGAAGTCAACGTTTTTGAACGTGTTTTAAGTAGTTAAAGACATGAAATAAGGTCTGTGGTGAACACAGCTTGAAGATATGTTCATGTTTTGTTCCACGACATAAAATATCTCTATAAACACCCCAACTTGTGAACATCTGAAGCTTTTACATTTCTCAAAAGCGATGCTAACAAGTGGCTACATTAGACTTCTAAACATCATCAAGCTAATCTCATTGCTTTTTGTTGGGGGAGCCGCAGAGTTGCTAACTTTCAGGTTGGCCTACATAAATGCGTAATCAATGCACAACTCTATGATGTGCTCCTTGGCCTAGCTAGTAACTAGTAGCATTTTCTTTTACAGATAACTTATAATGTTTATAAATAATCATGAATATTAAGCTGGTAGTCGGGCATGCTAATGATTTATTTTAAGAGCGGAACACTGTTAACCTGTTAAGCCCTGAGCCTGTTTTTCAGGTCTCAGGCTCGAAAATGACATTCCCAGAACAAATGACCATTATCTTCCCTTCTAAAAGGGTTAAATTAATAAAACAAATTCTCAAAGTAATGATAAACTTGTGAGTTGGATGTAGAAAAGTCAGAATCAATATAGATGTTTTTTATTTTAAAGAAAATTCAGATTGAACATAGTAGAAAACTGTAAATTATAGTGTCCGTCCAAACATTCTTTTTTACTTATAGTGAAAACTACCCTTGGATGATGGTAAGTATAGACTAAAAGCTTTAGGAATCCAAAGTACAACATTTACAGACTGTTTTGTGCATGTGGGCAGAGAAATGTAATTGGGTGACATCTACATGGCTGGGATATTTCCGTTTTTATATCATAAAAAAAAGGTCATAAAACGCATGTGGGTTGGTCTGTGTCATGTTCACTACGGGGTCATTCCAGCTCCACGATTCCTGAGACTGACTGGAGTTTTATTTAAGGAGAAAGGCAAAGGCTGCTTAGAGCTTAAACATATGCAACTACTCTGATTGAATGTACCAGTTCAGTGGCTGCACACTGCTAATCTGTGTTAACATGTGCCCTTGTCAATAAAGTATTTCCTGTTGAACAGGAGGGATCCGGACTGCAGACTGAAGTGACACCAGATGCCTGGCGGTCCATTTAGACAGTTTAACCACACACTTTAAAACGATCATGAGGGATGTAACAGTGTGAGAGAAACTCCCTCTGGGGGGTACACAGGGATTCTAGCCTTTGCAGACCATTAACATGCACACAAACCTATAGAACCCAAATTACAAAAAAACACAATCAGGCCACTCCATTAAAGGTTAAAGTCCTGAGTTGAAAATGTTACTTAAGTAAAAGTATGGTAAGTATTATCCGCAAGACGTACTCAAAGTATTCAAAGTAAAAGCGTATAAGTTATTGTCAAAATGCCTCTATTTTTTATCACCAACAAATACATTTAAAAGTTTAGATATCAAAGTTATGTAATGTAACTTGTCAAAGTGAAGCTAATTTTTAGAATTTTTTGTACTATCAGGTAGATTAGTAGTAATATTTTTTAAACAAATGAACAAATATTACTCATTTCTGAACGTATATGCACCATTGCGTCCCTTGCACTATTCTCTTGCACAATTTAATTTTTTTATTTCTTCTTGCACGACTTTATTTCAATTTATATCTGCTTGTCTAGCTGACATCTCTCAGTGGATGTCTGTGACCCTAGATAACAACCTGTCCTTCACTGCAAACATAGCTGCTACAACCCACTGCTGCAGATACACGCTTTACAACATCAGGAAGATACGTCCCCAGCTGACTCAGAAAGCGACGTCAGGTTCTGGTCCAGGCTCTCGTCATCTCACGCCTAGACTACTGCAACTCCCTCCTGGCTGGTCTACCTGCATGTGCCATCCGACCTCTGCAGCTCATCCAGAATGCAGCGGCTCATCTGGTCTTCAACCTTCCTAAATTCTCCCACACCACTCCGCTCCTCCGCTCCCTTCACTGGCTTCCGGTAACTGCTAGAATCCACTTCAAGACAATAGTACTTGCGTACCATGCTGCGAATGGATCTGGCCCTTCCTACATCCAGGACATGGTTAAACCGTACACCCCAGCGCGTGCACTACGCTCTGCATCAGCCAAACGACTCGCTGCGCCCTCGCTGCGAGGGGGACCCAAGTTCCCATCAGCAAAAACACGTGGGTTTGCTATCCTGGCTCCAAAATGGTGGAATGAGCTCCCCATTGAAATCAGGACAGCAGATAGCTTACACACCTTCCGGCGCAGACTAAAAACTCATCTCTTTCGACTCCACTTCGAGCGATAGAATTACTACCAAAGAACTGCTAACAGAGCACTTATATACTAATAAAGGACTGGCTTATCTAAAGCCAGTTGAGTAGCACTTGAAATGTTTTGGCTCTATGAAACCTGATGTACTTATATGATTCTGTTTTCTTCAAGGTTGTGTCTTCCTGGTCGAACGCACTTATTGTAAGTCGCTTTGGATAAAAGCGTCAGCTAAATGCAATGTAATGTAATGTAATGTAAATAAATAAAACCTTTAAATCAGTGATGTATAATGTCAAAAGCACCACTAAATGTAGTGGAGTACAAGTAGAAGTTGCATAAAAGGGAAAGACTGAAGTAAAATGTACCTCAAAATAAAATTAATGAAACTCATTAAACTCAATGGACTTAGTTACATTCCGCCATTGCAAGTAACACATTTAAAAACAAGAAATACAAATGTTTTTCTAGCAGCGTCAGGTCAGCCAAAGGGCCTGTTTTACTGCAAATAGAAACAGTGCTTGTCTTCTATGTATTCCAAACAAACCATAATTACTGCTGCTTGGAACACATGGCTTTGTAAGCAAAAACCTACAAGACTAATGAATAAATGTCCTTAGCCAAATTATCGCTTCCAAAAAGTTATTGAAAGCAAAATAATGCCAGATCTGGGCTTGGATCGGTTCAACAAACAAGCTCATTAAAGAAGAAGAAAGAGAGTGAGCTGGAACAGCTGGAGGACGGCATAAACACTGAGTGTGCTCATGGCTAACATAGTACAGCACCATAACCTCTGTCACACTCCATTACTAATAGCACCAACATGGACAGAGGAACAATTTAGTAACCACAATGAGCAGGATGACCTCATCCTCAGCTTTAAATCATCCACCGGTAACATAACAAAGCAATAAAAAAAGGATTCTGGCTGGAGTGTGTGTGTGTGTGTGTGTGTGTGTGTGTGTGTGTGTGTGTGTGTGTGTGTGTGTGTGTGTGTGTGTGTGTGTGTGTGTGCTGCGTGTGTGTGTGTGTGTGTGTGTGTGTGTGTGTGTGTGTGTGTGTGTGTGTGTGTGTGTGTGTGTGTGTGTGTGTGTGTGTGTGTGTGTGTGTGTGTGTGTGTGTGTGTGTGTGTGTGTGTGTGTGTGTGTGTGGTAGACAGCAGAGTCTAAATTGCTTGACAACAAAACATCCATCTGTTTTCTAGACATGAGCTGTGGCCATTACTCTCCACATCAACATTATATTAATTAGACAGCGGGTCAAAAGGGAACCATAGCAGGAGGACAGAGACGTGTACTTTCTGAAAAAATACTTGAGGCTACTTTCAAACTAAACCTTACCATGTGACAAAATAAAAACATGCATGCATTTAGCTGTGCAAAAAATTATCGACATTAAATGACAGGCTCATCTCCAACAAACCTTTGTTTTTCTTTGCTCTGCTTTGTTCTCCACCAACCCCTGAGGGATATAACTGGCTCTTAAGCTGCTGACTGCTCGACAGTGTTCATTAGCTAGGTATTAACTTTGTCTGTTGCTGTTTGGTGCTGGACAGGTATGTACACAGGGGCGGATCTACCGGGGTGGCATGGGGTGGCAACTGCCACCCTAAACAATAGCCTTGCCACCCCAGCTGCCACCCCAGTTGGCATCTTTGTTTTGAAAGAAAAGTTGTGGCTCATCGGACATTTATGAGAGAAAGTCTCTAATGTCCGAGTGCAAGTGAATGCAGCACAAGATGCACGTCCTGTAACCCCTCCCCCGGTCCTGGCGCGAGAGTGGAAATATGATTGGTGGCGAATTCACTTGAACGGGGGGACGGCGCAAAACGAGAAGCCTTTCGGACCCAAGCACTGAAGGAATGAGGTATTTGCGATCTACAATGACAGAGAAGAGAATGTCAGTGTGGCTGTACTCAGCATTGAATCAAAACGCACTGAAGCTGT